GAGATTAATATATCAGTTATTCTTTTTATGCTATGATTTAAATTGAATATATTTGCATGATGGCAATTAGATGATGGCAAAAGAATTAATTGGCCAAAAGTCATTAAGTTTTTTTTGAACACTGTATATTTTTACCAAATTCAGCAACACCAAATAGTCATTATCTTGCTATCATTGATTGGTACAAGAAAGATCCACAAAAGCAAAATTACTTTTATAGCAAATCATATGATAGTGCACTATCTACAAATGCTAATAGAAGTTATCATGCTGAATTATAGAAAGATTGGTTTATTGAGTGAGGATTTGAAACTATATTACCCATTCAAAGAATTATCAGCTGATTTGTTAAAGGCAATGAATCTAAGTTTGGAAATAAAAAAAATTTTGTTGTTATTATACCAGTGAATCAGAAATTTTTAGTATAATGGTATGTATTAAATTATATTTTATATGAAATAAAATTTCTATTAATAAGATGTTAAAATGGATTAGTTCGTATTTACAAGCATAACAATTAGTAAACATCAAATTAAGTTACTGTACAACTTATGTGACTCATTAAGACCATATATAATTATTTAGAGATGCATATCTTGAGTGCATTAATGTCAGTGACACAATTGGTTCTTTATCGATGATCATAATTGAACATAGATAAATTTTTTTTCTTGATATATCATAAGTTACTGTATATACATATACATACATATACATATAGTATATTTTATATATATATATACAGTATATGTTCTCATTGTGAAGCAAACTCTTTAGCATATAATTTAAAATTTAGAAGTAATTATGCTCTTAACAAGAGTCTTTTTGAATATTTTGTTAATGGTAATCAGATAATGCATCTTGAGAAATTACAACTGCATACACAAAAACAGATAAGAAAAGAAATTTCAGATTTAATTCAGTCTACACTCTATAATATGAAGAAGAAATTGTCAGTTATCCTGACATATGCAATGCTCAGAAAAATGTTTATTTTATGGTTTATTGTTATTCTGAAAATTTTGAAGATGAGTTTGCATTAAATTTATTTTTGTGATTGGAATGGTTATCAAGCTTGTAAAGGTAATTGTATTTTGTATTTTTAAAAGTTCTTATTAATATATATTAAGATTTATATAGCATTTATTTTTGACTAGTTTGTTTACAATGGCTACTATAAACAAAGCCAAATTGCAGTATTGACTCTACATCTCGAACATGTAATTAGTAATATTGTTAAGCATAATCTTTTTAATTACTATACAATTTTTATTTTTGTGTTAATTGAAATAGGTTGTTCTTTGATAATTTTCAAGAAGAGAAAGCTAATATAATAATTGTGTTACTTGTTTATAATGCTAGAAATATGGATCATGAGAATATTGAATTATTTAAACCATTCCAATATTCTTTTATCTTGTACAAAATATAGAATATTTCTTTTAAAACTCTGAACTTATAAAAAAACATTCTAAATTTTGAAGTAAGTTCTATTACTTTTATATGAATGTAGTAAAATCAGGCCAGAACTCCTAATTGTATATATTCAAATACTGATTAAATCTTTGATATTAGATTATTGCATCAGCTTCAAATCATATATCTTTGCTTATATTTTTTTTTCACTTTCTAAATTAACAATATCTTTTATGGCAACCAAAGCTACTTTAAATACTCTTTCAACAAGTATTAATGGTTTAACTCAAGTCATAAATGAAGTAAAATCTATTTTAACTTCTTCCAATGTTAAGAGCCAACTTAAAACAACAAAACACTCAATTGACTCTTTGAAGCATTGATTTGATATTTATGAACAAAACCAAAATGAATTTGTAACCTCTATACAACATATTAGTAATGAACATAGAATTAAAATACAATGTATTGAAGATACACTAATGATCACAACAACTATATTGGAAAATTTGTCAACAACAACTTCTATGCTTCAGACTAATATAAATAGTCTATTATCTTATATTCAGAATCATAAAAATGCTATTAATATTTCAAATACAACAAACAACTCTCCATGTACTATTGTCATCATAAATCCTATACTTACTGCAAAACTTCATGATAAAATGTGTTATTTTACTGGATTTAATAATTCTAAGTCTTCATTACTTAATAATAATTATGTATATAACTTTGCACTTGGTCCTAAAAATCAGAAAAACAAAAAAACTACTTATAATTATATTGATCTTTTTATTAAAGAATTTGATGTCCAATTTGAAGAACCATGTGTATATTATATTATTTAAAGAAACTTATACTTTATTTATACATTAACAAACATGATATAAATGATTATAAGTTATAGTAAAAGAAAACTGTAAAACATGCTTTTTGAATATTTAATTTTAAAACTGAACTGAATAATTATTATTTTAATGTAATTTAAATTGTTTTAACAAGATAATTTGAATAATATTAAAATTTTAAGTATTCAATTACTTAGTTTTAAACATTTTTATTAAAAATAAATATTCAAAAAGTATGTTTTACAGGTTTTCTTTTACTATTACTTATATGTGAATTGAAGTCAGAATTGAGTAGTATATAAGAGCATATTTTTTAATTATAATATAACAAAGATCTCAAAAATCTACTATACAAATATTTTTATTAATAAAATAAATATAATTTTTTTGCATGATATCTATTATACTTATTTCTACTATATGCTTAATCAATAATAAACAGATATAGATTTTATACAATGTACTATTAAAATTGAACTGTGCTATGAAAAATTAATTAAAAGCATTAAAATAAAAATGAACAAGATCTTTAAATAAGAGATAAATATTGTTAGCAGTTTTATAAATAAGCTACATCTATTAATACTAAAATATATTAGTCATTTAAATAAGATAAGAACAAGATGTTCAGAATTTAATAATTAACCAGTAATAAGAATAAAATGCTATTTATTAGTAATAGCAAAAAAATATGTTTAATATTATCATGTTTTATCAATTGTGCTATAATTAAGTCATATTGAATGCTCAAAATAAGGTTAGTCTAAGAAAATTTAGAATAAAAATAAGATAATATTTGATATTCATAACTTAGTTAACAAAAAATAATAATATTTTTTGCTAGTTATAAAGTAAGGAAAAATGGGCTTCATCATTACCAATCCTTGTTAATTGTTGCATATTTTCATTCTTTTCACTAATCCTATTTTAATATGCTTTGATATGACTTGCTAATTGTTCTCAGAATCACAGTATCAAACACATGACAATGAACTCAATAATTAACCAAAAAAGGATAGCATCATTTGTTAGTAATATAGAAAGAAAGGAATAAATTTATTATTATCAAGTCTCATTGATTTTTGCTAATTTCTCATTAATAACCTTTTTAATATAGTTTGACAGGCTTGCTAATAGTACTTAGATGTAGTAGTACCTACAATTAGAAATGCTCAAGGTACTGCTGTTGCCAAATTTGTAGTTTTTTTGTAACAAACAAATGATACTTTAAAAACAAAAAAAACAATTTTAATTTAATTACAATAGACTATATAACTTACTGGCCAAACATATAATTCTGCACAGTTCCTATTACTGTAATACTCTGGCCATATTAACTTACAAAGCATGACAATCAACAATGTAATTACAATAATAATATTGTCATAGATATTATTAAGCCTTATCAATTGCCAAGCTATATTGATTGCAGTCTATTTTTATTAATCTTATATTAGTATATTTCTGTATAGCTTGCTAATAGTATATTTTGGTATGACAGTATCTAGAACATATGATTATTTATTAACAATAAGAAACTAAATATCATTTGTTAGTTGTAAAAGTATATATTTATTGAATAAGTTATTATAAATAAGCTAAAGACTAGTTTCTATTATAGGATGTTGTCAATTAAAATAAGCAGCTGTAAAATTGATCAAATCTTAGCTGATTTAAAAAACTATTAAATTATATTCTTATAATAACTTATTTTGATCTATGATACTCTCATATATTAAATTAAAAAATACAAATATACTTAGCTTAGAATAAAGATGAATGATAAAATATTGTTAATACAAAAAATAAATGAATTCATTAACTGTATTGTTAACAAGTTTTTATAACCAAGCCATATCAATTATAATTAAAATTAATGTATATCTCATTTAAGTTATATAAAAAAAGATATATAATTAGTAAATTATTCAAATGTTTAAAATAAAATCACAATGTTGTAAAATCTTTTAATAAAGACTGCAAATATATAAAAGGAATGCAAAATTTAAAGTTGTATAATTATTCAAAGATTTCACACAAATTGCCAAAATTTTTGCAATTGTTAAGATTTATTAATTATAATTTATAAATTTAAAATAACAATAATTAAAAAAAAAGAAAGAAATGTCAAACTTAACTTTAATAAACTTTTTGTTAAACTATAATGATTCCAAAGTTCATGTTAGTTTAATTCAAAGCATGTCTAATTTAACTAATAAGCTTATTGAAACTATATTGAAAATAAATCACAAGAAATAGACCCAAATAATTATATAAAAGTTTATATCTATCTTATATTAAATATCTATAAAAATTGGATTGAAGAAGTGCTTCAAATATTTTAGAGACAAATTATACTTTAAAAAACAATAAAGAAAACAATAAGTATATACTAAATAAAAGATATGTTTGTCATTGTTTTAGAAATCCGAGATTTATAGTCAGAACAATAGAAAAAACAAATAAATCTTTATTAGATTATAATCCACCTTGTCCTACTTAAAAACTATTCAAGAAAGTTGATTGTAAATCCTATTTATAAGTGTTAAAACATCAGAATGAAGATAAAAATATAGTTCAAATACTTTATTATAACCTTCATAATAGGCATACTTCTGGCTCTAATAAAGACTTACATCATTTTAGCTTATCAAAACAAGCAAAAGAATAGGTTGGTAAAAGAGCAAAAGATGAATTAAAGTCTTTCCAAATTGTGATAATGTTTTATCAGCATGTTAATCAGTCTCATTATGCCATTAATATGGATTCCTTATCTCTTACACAGTGTCAAAACATATACTATTAACCTACAAAAACAATCATAACTCTTGAACCACTGGACAAACTTTGATGAAACTACCACCATTCGAATCAGCTTACTGAGACAGTTCTAATGAGATATAGATCATCCAATTCTGATCACAGAATCACAAGATCAAATCCAATAACCAAATTAATAAGGAAGCTGTGATCTGATTGGTTGAATAATTACTGCACGAAATGTTATACATATT